GAGCAATGTTTAGCACAATATTACCGATAAAAATTTATTTTGGTCTTATCGGTAAAAACGCTAAGTAGAACAGGTTATTGCCCTGAAAAGTACTATTTTCGGTTTCCTTTAATGCACTTTTTAATGTAGTTTTAGTTCTCATTTTGTCTATTGTTACGCTCAATTTTAAGTTGGAAAAATGAGAGAAAATTCTCTCAAATAAGGGGATTGTCTGTACCAGATTGTCTTTTTTTTCTTTATTTTATTATTATTTACTTTTCTTTATTGCCAAACGGTTTTGTTTTATATAGCAGTATCTATTGAATGATTTAATGATGTATTTCTTAGGCAATTTCCAAGTATTTTTTTCTCTGCAATAAACGAGAATTTCCCAGAATAATTTGGATATCTAAATAAAAGTGAAATAAATTTATATAAAGTTTGTAATCGTTTTTATTAATTAATGTAACATTTAACTCATTTTTATAAGTTTGGGCATTTAAAAAAAAGAAAGGCGAAAACGCTTGAAAGAGAATGGACGATTGCATTCATATACAATAAAGTTGTCAATCGGATATGTCACCAGCTGTTTTGAATTATTTTGCTTGTTTATACTTGGTATATTCGGAGAAAATCAACAAAGTAACTTGGTAGATGGTTTCGACAGGCGGATATGACTGGACCTGCACTTGACAAGATGCCAGTTGCGATTGCTGCAGCTGTGCCTCTCAAGCAAAAGACTCTTAACAACCTCTACCAGATACCTGAATAGTATTGCATTCACTCTTCATCCAGAAAAAAGTCATAGAGTAAAACAGTCCAGAAACAATTCTAGTATTAGAAGAGAAGATTTAATATAACATTTTCACAAAAAAAGAGTACAGAATGGAATAAAGTTTATACATTATCCAAGTCTCTATGTAAGATAATAAACTACTACTCTAAAAATATCATATGATATATTTTATTAAAGATAACGTTAAGTTTCGGACAGTTTTATTAATTATTTTACAGTATCTGATAAAATTATTACCTTTTAAACTACTTTATTTATTACATAGTCAGTGATATTGGGAGTAACGTCGAACCAATCGACCGAATGGATAGTTTTTCATACACTCAGGTGAAATATTGATAGATATATGATATCAATGTATTTCATCATCTAGATTGAAACGAAAGTTCAATCTTATCTCGTAATTCTTGAAAGATTTTGAAGGAGATAGGATAATTAAAATGGATCCAATTTTTTTTCCTTCGTTTTTTGGTGGTCGTCAGATTATTTGGTGGTCGTCTTTATCCTTTCGAGATGCTTTAAGTTATTAAAAAATAATAATAATAACAAAATAAAATATTTATATTGTAACTGATTTATGAACTTNTTTGACATTATTAATTATTATAAAATTGCAAAATCCTTAATTTTGAGGGTAGCGAGAAGTTTTATAAAAAAATTCTAAATGCTAATAATGAGTAAAATCGTCATTAAGTACAATCCTACTCGAGATATGATGCACGATCTCCCTTTATCTCTTTACCCCGTTGGCCTTTAACTACCAAAATTTAATAGCATCAATCCCCCTAATATACAAACTTCCCTTTAAAATATCAGAAATTTTCGACAAAAAGGCGTTATTAAACTTCAAACAGGATGAACAAAATTGTGCTTCCCCACACACACATACTAACATCCATACATACAAAAAAACACCCCAAATTATTTTGTATTTTTGGACGTTCAAGATCCCCGTGTCTAAAAGTGTAAAAATCTTGAGTGTCACTTTTGACCGATCGCCATACTTTCCTTCTGTTATAAAGGAGCCGGGAAAGTAAAAATAATAAGAGAAATTATGTGGCAGCGATAGAAAGTTACGATTAAAAATAAAAGTAAGAAGAGGAAGAGAAAGGAAATAAAAAAGTAACAAAAAAGAAAAACACAAAGTTGAAATTTAATACAGGAATATATCACGCATAAATTTTCTAAGCATAAATATATACATTAAACAGAGAAAGTTTTCTTTTCTAATATTCAATCTTGCAAACTTGGTTAGATATTCAAGCCATGTTAAACATATCAAGATTGGTTAAGTACGTTTCATAAACACACTAAAATTATACTAGAACGAGTACATTTAGTTATAATAATACACTAAACGTTACCTCGTTAACGTTAACGTGTATACAAGTGAGTGAAAGATGATTTCTCCATCCAGATTAAACGTTATCGATACAAATCCTGATCGGTTTTATGGAGAGAAATAGTGTTGCATTTGCCACTAATGATAAATAATGAATGCTGATTGTAAAGCCATCGTTCAGCAGCAAATTGGGGAAAGCAAATGGTAGATAAGAGGTGCAAATCGTCAACTACACTCTATTAAATTTACTATCTACGATGGGCAATTTATATATCAAACTCTCTGCAAGATTGTTTGTGTATCTTAAAACTATCTCTTCTCTTTTTTTTATCATTTAGATAATAATGTTATTAGTGTAATTTTAAGTGGAAAAAAGGCTATAAAATTTTCCTTTTTTACAGGAAGAAGAAGAATATATAAGAGACATTCTAAAGGCAAATTGTCAGAGAGAAGATTGATGAAGCTCATTTTCTTTCCGAGATCAAGTCAATGTTCACAAACTGATAATCAAAACACAAAACCAAATTCTTCAATTATTTTTTACGTCGTTTAGTATGATTCGGTTATTTTTATCTGAACACGGTAAACGCGATTATCGTTGAAATTTAGTGTGGTAGATGTTGAAAAGCAAATTAAAGCCAGCCAAGTGAAAGGGAAACAATGGAACAATATATTCTCTTGTCGTAATTCAAATCTTCTTTAAAACTGACATCAATACCGGATATCTAGAGTGAGAATTTTATTTTATTTAATTTATTATTATTTTTTTCTGTATATCTTTCTTTTCCTACAACCCTCAAATGTTATAATAAGCGTATAAAAAATGATACCGTACTTGTATAACGATATAAAAATTCTGAAAACACCTGCCAACTGGTAAAGAAAAATAATATATATAAAAGAAGTTTTTTGTATAAAAAGAACATCTTTTTAAAGTTGTCCATATTGAAAACTGTCAGACAAACAAATATTAAAGGTGGAAAAAAATGAAAGGCTCAGCAGTTTGTCTTTTATTTGTTCGATTTTTATTCTCAACTTAAATTTTTTCTCTTTACTTTAAATAAATAAAATTAAACAATAAAATACTTCTAACCATTTAACTGATAATATATATTTAATAATAATTAATAAGTATTAAACATAACTTTTCAGGGTTGAATGTTGACTTGTGGCTCTAATCTGTAATGTATCAGGCCTTTCCTCCGCATTAAACAATAATGAATTTAAAAGCGTGAGGCCTTAAACTATACGCACGAAACTTATTTAACTTACGTGTACATTTCCAAAGGCCCTATCCGTATGAGGCCCTAAGCCATAAATCCGATTTTATAAATTGTATTATTATTCGAAACTATATTACAAGAGAATATCATTTATAATTAATGAACTTTTTTTACGTATCAAATTATATATTTGTCTAAGAAAAATAGAAGAGGGATGTGATTTAAAATTCATTCAACTATTAACGCCATCTATGGATAATTATTTTCGAAATTTCTATGATTTACTGTTATTAATGTGTCACCGGTGAAGATAAACGAAACTGTTATGGCAGATAAAAGACATTAGATGATTTATCTCTTCCTATATAGAAATGAAAAATATATCTAACTGGCTTTCAATCACTCTACGACATACAGTATATGTAAAATGCAGAGATGTTGGGGATAGATATGTATGTTAAAATAATGAATTTTTTATAATTATAATGTCTTAATTTAGTTAAGTAGAATGGGGAATGCCTTCTATGAATAAAAAATGATTATCGTCTTATTTTTCTTTCATTTCATTGAAATATTGCCTTTATTTTATTTAATTGGCTTTAAAGCTCTTAATTTATTTGCTATTTCCTTAAATTTCTTTCATTTATTTTCCTTTAACGTCAGCAAATTTTTGTTAATTGCACTTAAAAAGAGCTCTAATGTTATTTAACTGCACTTTAGAGTGTTTTATTTTTATTTTACATGCTTTTAAAAGTAGTTTTATCTTGATTAATTGCATTTAAATGAAATAAAAATACATTTTTAATAACTGAAAACTTAAATATTTTATCAGCCTAAAGAATATTTATTTCATTTAATATTTCTAAAAAATTAATTTAATCGCGTTTACGGAATTGAATCCTATTTTATTTAAATTCATAAATTTATTTTTTTTATTTCATTTTAAAGTAGTTGAAATAATATTTTAGTTAGGATTTTTTTCGTAAAATTACATTTAAACAAAATTAATTTCAATGTAATTTAAATTACAATTAATAGTCGATATACAATTAAATTGCATATAATTACAATTTGAAATCGATTTAAAAACAATTAATAGAAAAAAAATTAATTTTTTTTTGAATCCAATTAATTTAATCTCAATTACGTGTTTAATTGTAATTTAATAAAATTAAAATTTAGAAACACAAGTTTAATTGTAATTAAAATATGCATTACTATATTTTTCATTTAATTAAATTTCTTGAAGTTATATTAATTTTTAGTTTCATTAAAAAGTAAATTTAATTTCATTTGTAAATAGAAATGTCATATAGCTTTACTTCTAAAGGCATTTCATTTCATTTTATTGTACTTAAAACTTGTTTTATAATTAATTATATTTAAAGAAATTTTATATATTTAATTAAAAAATTCCTCTTACTCAAGTCAATTTTCGAATTTTTCAACGCAAAAGATGAGTTATTAACTAGTTAATGCAATATAGGCCTATATATATATACGAAGTTTAGATTCTTCCTGAAAGTTTAACTACTACTTCTGAAAAAATTTTTTTTGCCTTGCTGTTGGCGTTATATAAAATATTAAGCACTTTAAAAAATAATAAACTCAATACACTTTTAGAAATAAAATATTATGCTTTTATTCTTTTGATAGATTTTCTTCTTTTTTAGATACAATAACATAATACTGCAACAGTATGCTACCACTCAAGACTTAGAAACAACTCGTGTTTAACAGTTATTATACATTGTTTATAATAATTACATTAACTCAGGTCCTATTTATAATAATTTATAATAAGTTTGGGCATTTATTATCGACAGATAATTGAATATACATATATATATATATATTTCTTTTTCCAGTTTTGCTTACTGAAAACTCTATTATTATTACGTGAAGGAGATGTGTATTGTGTTAAGAATATAGGGAAAAATTCATTTCTTGAGCCGTATTTTCGAGTATTTTTCTGTCTTTTTATATAGGGAAACAATTAAACGAATTAATAATATATAAAAATATTTATAGTTTCGAAATTCTGACGTGTCCTCTCAAAATTGCTTTGATTAATAATCACGTAATGATTATTAAATTAATATCACGTGATGATATTATCAAAATAACAGTCAATTTTTTTAAAAATTTCTCATAAATTCTAATGAATAAATTATTTTTACTCATTAAATATTTATTTATGCAAGAGCTTAAAAACAGGAGCTAACAACATTATACAGTTGAAAACGTAAATCCCAACTTTGTGAAGTTTTTGTTTCATACCAAACTGTGATGTTTGCATTGTAAGAACTGGTTCAATATTGATATAACTGCATTACACACGTAAGAATTTCGATCCTTTTCTTTTAAAGGTATATACTATACATAATACGGCTGCGTAACTAAACACTGTGCAAAATTAAACCCGACACATCGACGATAGACAGAGATGACACAAATATCGATTATAGGAAAAAAATTGATTTTTGTTTTGATATATTTATTCTTTTTCTTCTTGGAGAAATAAAATCAGTCAATAGTTTCTGTATCGTATTCTCTCTCGTCTCCTAATCCTTCATCGGGAGAATCTCTAGCTGCTGCGTTGGATACAGCGTGATGTACCTGATCTACTGCGACTACTACTTCGTGTTTTTGTGGACGTTGCTCGGTGTTTTCGTATACCTGACGATGTTGCGAGTTCATATCAACATCATTAAGATTTGTAGAGTCGAGTGAACCGGAATTGATCATCTTGTCGTTCTCGTTACGCAGTATTTGATTCTGTTCGATAACAACAACGTTGGGCGTAGTAGTTAATGATAAATCTGTTTGGTCGTCGATGGAGTTTTCTAACACGTCTGTTATCGGTTTGATTGATTCTTGTACTCTATTAGGTTTCTGAGTGGAATTGCTATTATGGTTCCTGCCGAAGGGTGTGCTGTAGCGAAAGGTGAATAAATTAGCGATAGGTTTGGGTAATATGAGTAACTTCTCTTCCCTAGTTGGAAATTTTAATCTGTGATGAAAAATTACAAGGAATAAAGCTATTGTTAACACGATGACTATCAGAGATCCTATAATAATGGCACATATTTCACCGGCAGTGAGACTACTGTTGTGCAGTATTAGAGGAAGAACCGTGAGGGTGATTTCAGAAGACGCGTTACCGGCTGGATTTGATGTAAAGCACGTGTATACCCCGCTATCTTTTAACATGACGTTGAAAATCGTTAAAAGAGTCGTCTTCTCCGTGTTACCGATCTCTCTTATGAGATACATTTGCCTACCGAACGACATTAAAGAGAGATTGGCTATTGGTCTTCCGCGCCAAATCCATCGCACGATACCTTCTGGAGATGCGCGTATTTTACATTTCAGAATGGCATCTTGCCGTTCTGTTACGATTAATTCTTTTTGTACGCTTTCAGCTTCCGGAGGGCACGCTAAATCGTTGAGATCTAAAACATCCCAAAAGAGGCCGCGTAGTCTTGGGGGTCTTTCGCATCTCGGTGGATCGCTGAAAGGCACATTACGCTCAACCATCCACAAACGTACTTCTCCAACGCGACAATCACACGTCCAAGAGTTTCTATGCAGATCCAAAGCGTGCAATGGAGGGAGATCACGTATGACATCTTTAGTAATGATTTCTAAACGATTTCCATCGAGTTTCAGATACTCTAATTTATGTAGACCCCGAAAGGCGTCGACATCTACTGATTGTATGTGGCAATTACTCAGTTCTAAAGTAGTGAGATGTGATAAACCGTCGAAGCTGCCATTGTCCAAACGCTGTATGGGGTTGTGGCTGAGTAGAAGTCTTCTCAGTATCGGAGTGTCTTTAAATATTGCGCTTGGCACCCATGTTAAAAAATTGTAACTTAAGTCCATTTCGATAAGATTTGCCACTTGATAAAAGGAATCGTCGGCTATTTCTTCAATGGCACACTTCTGTAAGTATATCTTTTGTAAATTGATCATGCCCAATCGTTGAAAAATTCTGCTGGGTAGGATTTTTAAAAAATTCCCCGTGAAGTAGAGAATTTGTATGTTGGTCTCTATATTGCCAAAGGACCTTTGTAGATCTTTTGGAAAGCCTACAATGCCACTATTAGCACAATCCACGGCTCTCTTTCCGTCCTTCCACACGCATCTACATTCCGTTGGACACTTCTGGCACATGGTGTAACAAATCACCTGACAAAGCGTGAGTAAAGCAGCCCCGAAATACTTCATATCAATCTTGATCTTGATGAAGTTTAATTTTGATTCGGGGCTCGAAATTTTTTAAAATTACGCATATAAAACGGATTTAAATCACATTTTGATAGCAGGCAGTTACGGTTAAAAATTACCCTTTAGTAGTATTCAACCATTTTCTTTATCAAAATTCATATTTTGTCTCGTTCAATCACGAAATCTGAAAAATATTTGAAAACATTTCATCATTTAATTTTATCCAGAAAATAAATGTAAAATTAATTATTACGATTGAAAAGTAAATTATGTCATTAATAGAAGAAACAACTTTTTAAAAAGAATTACAAATAGATAAATATAGTTAAAATTAGATAGATATACATTCTTAAAATGCAATAATTAAAACTAGATTACAAGAATTTCGTCAAGCATGACGTTAATAATTATTCAAATTCAATTAAGGAATCACAATTCTGAATTACAAATAGGTAATTAGTAATTATCTTGTTTCAAAACCTTTACATATAATGTAAATATTATAGCCAAGAAACTTACAACAGCCAAAGGCATTCTTTTATACCACCGACAACTTTATAATTAAATTTCAAAATGAATTATATATTTCTGTTTTTAAAAAATTATAGTACTAAAATTTAATGTCTTCAAGCTAACGTTACATTCTTTCGAATTAGAGCAACGAACATTGAATTATACTTTTCGTGATGAAGACAGAAACTGGACGAAGTTCTGAATGTTAAACTTTATTATTGATACTGGAAGCTGTTTTAGTAAATAGTTCAACTTTCAACGATTGTTACAATTATTATAATTATATCTGCAACATTTGAAACCGAAACTAAAGCAGTTCTTATAATTGCAACAATTACACAACTTCTATTGCTCTTTAAATAGTTAAGTCCTTTAACAGCTAGCAACAAGTAGACCATTAACTTTACCTATTCTTATCACTATAATTAATTAAAGAGCCACTAAAACTATTATTGCAATTAACAGTTACGATTGGAATTCTTACAATTTTACACATTATTATATACATTTTAAAATTAAATTCTATGTAAAGTATGCACAGACATATTTCATTTATTGCTAAATTTAACGAGAAAAATAATTAGATTTTTGTCTTATTATAACATTTTTAAAATGAAATTAGTATTTTTGTAAACAATACTTTCAATTTGTTAAACAATATGTTTTTCATTTTTATATTTATAGGCTAAATAGAAAGTACTGTATATCTTACTCTATTTGTAATATGTAGCTGCAGTTAAAGCATCGAGCTGTTCAATTATTACAACTATTACAACTTAAATTACGTTAAAATATCATAATTCATTCGCTATTTCAACTATAAACAGCTGCAAATGCAACTATATCATAATCAAGAATGTTATTAACTGCTCTTTCAACTAGATTAAAATGATTACAATATTTACTATTATAATAGCATAACATGAAATTTTTAATTGCATTTTGTTAAATTGCGTCTCTATATATATTGAAAACATGAACCATTTTAATTTTCCAAGAATTTCTTATATTTTATCAAAATTAAAACTACAAAAGCATTCAATTTGAAGCAGTCTGTACAGTACATACAAGACCTTGACCAAATGATTCTCTGGCCTTTTCTGTCATAGGCCCTGTGCTAAATTATATTTAAAAGAAAAAATATAATATAAATATAGTTTTACCTAAAATTAAATCAATTTTTAATCTATTTTATAGCAATATTTTTACTTTTTAATTATCATTATTTCTTTAAATATTGTAGCCATTAACGTTATACAATTGTAACTTTGATTTGTTATTCTCAATCGTTAATTAATTCAATAAAAGCGATAAGATATAATTTTAATTGTAATTATAATATTGGATATTATAATTGCGCATAAGACAAATGTTAATAAAATGACTTCAAAGATGTTAAACAGAAACAAACTTTAATTTCAAAAGTAAGACTATAAATTCCGTCTGTTTCACTTCAATTAATTAACATTATTTTTCAATAAACAGAAATAAATATCAAGACATTAACAATATCTTAGTCCTTTAAGTTCCTTTAGACTTTGATGTTATATGTTTAGCAGCGAATTTTAATTAATAATTATTAATAGAATAATTTAATTAGTTCATAATAGTTCAAAACCTGAATTTTTTTTCTCATCAAACTTATTAACCAGCTTTAAAGCTTAACAAAATTAGTTTAGAAAACTTATATGTTAAAAATATATTTAAAATTGTTGAAAATTCAATTCATTTCACAGAGTGATCCAAAAGTCAGTTTACCACAGTAAAGACTAAATTTCTGGCACGGTTAATGGTATTTTAAGCCACACGGTATTTAAAATCGGTACATTTTTCTCTCTGATTATCATCTTTGGAGATTTTTAATAAATTATTTTGTCTTAAATATTATTATTATTATTACTAAAATTAGCCCTACAGAAGAATTATACCCGCTATATATTTAAACTAATAATGATAATAGAAAGAAATATTGATATAACAGAATGAAATAAAAATTAAAAATCCATTATTTTTAAATTAATTTTAAAATACGGACCAGTTTATTTAATTCTAAATATAAACACGCAATTAGTATGAAAACTATTATTTTCTTACATTCGTTATTGTTGCAGCATACTTATAAAACTTATTTAGAGAAGGATTTTGTAGTTTGTATCCCTCATAAAAAATTCTACCATATATATATATTTTAAGACTTTTGTTCAATGCAGGACACTATACTGTGAAGACTTCCTACATGTTAAGCATACAGAATCATACGGGTAAAGTCTAGTGATATCAAACTCAATACTGTATGCGGGCCGCGTTTTGTGTTTAGTAGCAGTTTTTTATTGCATAAGACTGCCATATAACCTAACTATTTATAATATAACTGGTATAAAAAGCTTCTTGTTCAACGTTTCTAGACAAAAATAATTCTCTAGTAATCATAAATATACTATAATTGAACATTTCAAATGGGATACTAACGGAGCATTAGTACTAATGACCTAGGTACTGTACTTGCTCTCCACAAATAGTTTTAATACAATTGATAGGTACTGATGGAGTAGGATTACTATTCAATTAAACCAATGCTGTTAGAACAACAGCAAATCTAATACAGCTATAATTATAATTAAAATATCATCAACAATATAATTTCCTATTTGAGATTAATAATGGGTAGTGGCACAACTAGTGATATTCATCAGAAACCCTACAAATCTCTACTAAGAACCTTCAAATATAGATACAGTAATTTCATACTTGGAGCAAGCATGGATACGTGCTCGAACCCAAAACCAGAAGCTAAGTTACAATAGTTTAATTAAGATATTACGCTGCTTAGTCAAATGTTACAATTTTAATTACTTTCTAACAGCTTCAAACTACATAATTACAAAACAATCTTTTCTAAAACTTGAGATTTTAGAAGAAAAATTTAATTTCTATTCTTCTTGAAGATTTGCAATGTCAAACAAAATTAATTTCACTCTTACATTAATAAAGAATAGTTAAGAAATTAATTCACTGGTATAACCCGATAAAATACATATTAGAATGTGTTATCTAACTTTATACCGAGAGCGAATTTTTAAGTCTAAGAGGATGTAAAATTGTTCAAAATATAATCTTTCAAGCGTGAAATAAAGGCTGCATCTTTGGAAATTCGGACGAGAATCAGGGAGGAAGAAAGTGGGAGAAAAAAAAAGAAGAAAGTTTATTATTAACTGGCGTATAACCAGCCAACGATTATCTTAAGTCTGAAGTAAAAAATCGCATTTTATCCCATGGAGATGCAGTTTTACTTAACAATTAATAACTAAAGTAATGAAAAAAGTCATATATTACACGAATTTATTCTGAATATTTGACGTTAGAAATACATTATATGAAAATATGATACCATTAGAGATGTGTAATATTCATATCTCGAACATTGGTTAAAGATTTATAGCAGAAAATGTCCTCATCTAAATATCGTTTCGATGATAATGAATATGTATAAAACACACACGCATATATATATGATTATAAATTCTATTCTCAAAGTAATTTTATAGATTTAGAAGAATGTAATCAGTTGTATTTGCTAAATTATAATAAAGTTTGAATTAATTCTGAGTGTTATCGATTACCAATATGAGATATAAATGATTAAAAGGATATATAAATATCTCAATTTACAAAAATACATATTTCTAAGTCGTAACGAATGAATAAAAATTAAAAAAATGAAAGAGGAAAAAAACCAATTTTGAAACTTTTACAAAACTCATTTCATGCTCATTGTTAAATTTTCAAAAGCATTAAGTGAAGAAATTACGTATCTACCTTTAAAATTTTGCTATTTTTGAGACAGGCCATCAATATTATCGCTGTTTATCACGCGATATGTTAAACAGAAAGAATCGTTACTACAACCAAAAGTTTTCTATGTACAAAAAAAGGGAGGGAAGATTGTTACATAAAGCCAACGCAAATTTTCCATCAGCAGAATTGATTTATACTTTACATTAGTTTAAATCAATTGAAGGATCTTTATTGGAAAGGTAGCAAATATCCGAGATAGAATCATTTGCATGTTATTACTATAGATTCGCTCATACACACACACATATACACCTTAATAATAATAATAATAATGATGGAATACATGCATTGTATGGATTTAATGATAATGATATGGAGTTTGTATCAAACATTTTTTCCTTTATATTTATTTCTACAGCGTTTTAACTACTCCAAAACTTTTATTTTAATAATAAATTCATTCCTAGAATTTGTAAATTTAAAAAATAATATACTAAACCAGAATTTATGCACACATTTTGACATAATTAATACTAAATAATTTTACGTATAATATGAAAAGTGTATAAAATATAATAAACTATACTAAAGTTTTGAAATACAAATATTATTTTCAATTTAAAATATAAAATTTTAAATTCTATCTAGTTTTAACTCAACTTATTCAGAGTTTATGTTTCTTTATATTCAAAATATTCTTTTCTATAACGTGATATTTCTTTAGAATAGAGATTTTTATCTGCATTTACGATTCTTCTCTATTTTCTCCTTCATAGGATGACGTGAATAAATACAATAACCTTGGGATGATAGCTGGATAACAAAACAAAGAAAACAGTTCGCTCTTATACAACGAATTGCTATGTAGGTTACACA